TAAATATGAGAGCTCCAGGCATAACCTGTTCCATGATGATGGAGCAGGTAGTTTGAAAACTGTGTGAATGCCTTTGCTGGGCCGAGGACTTCCCAGACGTGGATCCCTGGGGACCCTGGGGAGAAACCCAGATTTCCACCACTGCCCTGCAGGATTCAGTGTGGCTCCCGGTGAGTGAAGCTCAGGAATCTGGATATTCAGGGATTTTTATGTTCTACAAGATCCAGAGATTCCCCTGCCCTTTGAAGCATCGAATCCTCCTGGAAGGGATAAGGCCTTGTCCTCAGGGCCTACTGTGCCCGGAGGCAGGAACTGGGAAAGTCCAGTGCACCGGGCTGGGGATTTAGCTCAGCGGCATAAGCGCCTACCTTACAAGTAGGCAGTTGTGAGTTCGATCCCCGGTACCGGTAAAAAGGAAAAAGACCAAAAAAAAAAAAAAAAAAAAAAAAAAAAAGAAAGTCCAGTGCACTGAGGAAACCACAGTACAGCAATAAGTCACAGTCATCCATTGTGTTTGTCACGTGCACCTGGGGCCAATGCACATCCTGTTTTTTAGTTGTCATTCTGAGTTTTGTATATGCATGTGTGTAGTACTAGGGATTGAACCCAGAGCCTTCATGCTGGCTACATCCTCAGTCCCCCTGCCCTTCTTTTGCAGTACTGAAGAAAGGAACCAATGCCTTTGCCTTATGCTACGTCTCCTGCCATTTTTATTTTATTTTTTGGTTTATTTGAGCCTACACTGGGTCTCATTATGTAGCCTACACTGGCTTCAAACCCACAACAATCTTTCTGCCTCAGCCTCTGAAGTGCTAGAATTACAGCTATGCACCACCATGCCTGGCTTTTTTAAATTTTTGAGACAGGCTCACACTAAGTCACTAAATTGCCCAGGCTGGGCTTGAATTTGTGATCATCCTAAATAGCTGGGATTATCACTGTGCCTGGCTACAATTTTATTATTTATTTATTTATTAATCAAGACAGAATCTCACTCTGTAGTTTAGGCTGTCCTTGAACTCACTCTGTAGCCCATGATCACTCATCGTGATCCTCCTGCCCTCCCAAAGCACCACCCCAGCTACCTGATGATTTTCATATGTCAGCTGTTGGGAGATGCTTCCACCTGCCAGGATGGGCGTGCAGCACCGGGGCGGACCAGCTTAACCGGATCCAGAGTGCTGAGCTGGGACTTGGCTGGTTGTTGCTGTGCTAGCTCTTCCGTGTTCAGAGGCTGAGAGCTCATCACACACAACCCCCAAACACAGGCTGCACATAAAAGAAACTCTAGGCCTCCCACAGACAAAACACTGCACTCCATCTTCCCCAACACCCCCAGCCCTTCTGGTTCTCTGTGGATGTCTAATCGAGGATTGCATGTGCAGAACCCTTCAATACCTCCCTGTTGCTCTAATGTCAGGCTGGTGCACCCTGCTTTGACACAACTCTTTCCCTAGTGAAGGCAGACTAATGGCCCTCACGCATGTCCACATTGCAATCCCTGGAACCTGAAAATGCGTCATGTAACAGAAAGAATTCTGAAGACTGATGATTACAGTAAGGGCTTCAATGCGACAAGGTTAGTCTGGATTATCTGGGCCTGGCTAGAGCATTGACATTCAGTAAGGAGCTTTTTGGATTTTTTGTTTTTTGATACCGGAAATTGAACTCAGGACCTTGCACTTGCCAGGTAGGTGGTTATGTTGTTGAGCTATATCCCCAGTCCAGGAGCTCTTTGAAGACAGGGTTTGACTTATTTCCTTCTGCACTGTCACTGTCAGCCTGATGTGGCTAGCAGGGTCTGCAAAGAGACCTTCTGTGAGTACTGGAGGGACGAGTCACAGGGGCAGCTCCACACGGGTGGTAGGGGGAAGAGTCCTAGGGCTGAGTCAGGTGGAAGGAGCAGTGGGTTGAACAGCAAGTAAAATATGTTTCCATTTGCTGAAAATTAGAAAATATAATTTGTGGAATTCTTAAAATAAGTGAGTATCTTGGGAAGATATGAATAGTAAAGGAGTACACAACAGTCCCCCATCTGTTTGTAGTCTACTGTTACATGTTCATTAACACAATTTAAAAATTAAAAATACTGATCCTTGGGCTGTGTCATCATAAAAGGTTCCATGAAGTCAAGGGCAGTTATAAGAATCTGTGTCAAGTGCAGTCTGCCAGCTCATGCCAAGTCAGGAACTGAACTGTCAGGAAGATGAGGTGGCCAAGATGTAAAGGAGATTTGGGAGGAACAGCCCAACATGCATTGTTATGGGGTGTGTTGAGATGTCCCTCCAAAGCCTCATGCAGTCATGGGGGTGGGTTTCTAGTCTATAGTTGATTCATGATCCAATACTAGGATTATGGATGTCAGTGCTGCACCTGACCTGGGGCAGGCGGTCTGCATACAATAGTGGGGAGGGAAAGAGGCTTGCTTTCTCTTTTCCCATCTTGACTCTTGTTATTTTTAGTGTCTCCTGCACCATGAACTATTGCCCTCTTCCATGTACTACTCTGCTTTAGAGCCAACTGAGTATGGACTAAAACCCCCACAAACAGCTAATAATGTTTCCTTCCTTAAGTTTGGGAATTGGGTATTTTGTCTCAGCGATGAGAGAAAAGTAACCTACACAGAATTTGGTACCAGAAAAGTGGGGTTTTTGCTGTCACTATTCCTGACCCTGGGGTTAAAAAGCCTTTGAAAATGGGTTGTTATAAGTTTGAAAGGCTCAGAGACATCACCTGAGAGGGTAGTGCTGGAACATCTAGGCAGTTCTATATGGGAGATTCTGGTCAGAGGTCAAAAGACCAGAAGGCTGGAAGGAAGGCTGCTGGTGAAGACCAGGCTCAGGAGGTTTCTGCTAGGAAGGGCTTCATTGGCTGTTGAACATCAGATGAGTTGGTAGAAAGTTTATCTACATTTTGCTCATGTCCAGAGATTTTTTTTTTTTTTTTTTCCTTTTGAGACAAGGTCTTGCTATGCAGTTCAGGCTGGCCTTGAGCTCACTTTGTAGCCCAGGTTAGTCTCAAACTCACAAAGATTCTCCTGCCTCAGCTTCTTGAGTGCTGGGATTACAAGCATGGGCCACCATGCCCAGCTCTATGTCCAGAGATTTTTGCCTACGATTGAGAGTAAGGGCAGCAGACTACTTCATCTGGCAGAAAAAATTTCAAGGCAGTCTAATGTTGAGGTGGTGCCATGGCTATTGTTGGGGGCTTTTAGCCAGATTTATGTTGAGATTCAAGAACACAGAACCCAGCAGAATGTTGTGGAATGTGAGTTTGCCCAGAATAAAAGCTCCAAAAACTGTGAACGGCAAAAATACAGCTGTGGAGATCTCAATTGCTGAGAAGGAACAAAGGAATAGGAGAAATGGCCTGAGGGCATCACAAGAAGCAACAGGACTCTACCCTTTGCAGACTCAAAACTACAAAAGCGAAAGACTTTGCTTTGAGGAGAAAGCTGCAGAGCACCATATGCCAGGATTATGGTGGTGTGGAGAATTTTTTCTTGGAATTGTATTCAGAGTGCTTGGCGATCCAAGCACTCAGCCCTTATAGCCAAAAGAGAAAGAAGCCTGCATATTGTTCCAGCTGGCAACAGACCTTTGCATCATCTACGTGGCGCTGGTTTTAAGTACATGAAGAATACAAGAGTTCTGAGGTTAAAGAGCTTCCATCCAGATTTCAGAAGAAGGCGTGGGAGACCAGGCAGTGTGGCCCTGAGAGGGCAATGTGTGAAAATGTGAGAGTGAAGCCAAAGATGCAGTGGAGACACCATTAGTTTAGAAGACAGAAATGTGGATCATTTGAGGAAATGTGTAAGGAGAGGGCAAAGCCATGGGAGCTACAACAACCAGAAATGCCATAGGGGAGGAACCACATGTGCCTTTTGGTAGCAGGGACTGAACTCACAATCTCACACTTGCCAGGCAGGCACTTATGCTGCTGAGCTAAATTCCTGGCCCACATGCATGCCTTTTGGAGCTCACAACTTGCCACAGGTTTGTATTGGATGCTGCACATTAACTACAGGACTAAATATTTGCCCTGCTGGGTTTTGTTTTGTTTTGTTTTGTTTTTTTCCTACCAAGAATCAAACTCATGACATCACACTTCCCAGGCAGGTGCTATGCTGCTGAGCCATATCCCCAGCCCTGCCTTGCTTGATTTTGGATTTGCTTTGGTTCTTATTCTTTGTACCTTTTGGAATGGTAATGTTTATCTTGTGCCATTGAATGTTGGAAGTGTTCAACTTTTCATTTGTACAGGGGCTCACAGCTAAGTGTATGTCTTAGATCTCAGAGACTTGGGGCTTGAACTTTTCAGCAATGTTGAAACTGTTAGGACTTTGGCAACTCCTAGAGATGGATGAAAATGCCTTTTGCATAAAGAGATGTGCATGAGTCTTTGAGGGGCCAGGGGTGGAATGTAATGGTTTGTCTATATGATCCCCCAAAGCCTCATGCAGTCATGTGATTGATTCATGGTCCAATACTGGGATTATGGGTGTGAGTACTATACCCACTGGGGGAGGGGGCAGTCTGCATATCGTATAAGGAAGGGAAAGAGGATTTCTCTCTCTCCTCACCTTTTGATTCTTGTTGCTTTTGGCTGTCTTCTGCCACCATGAGCTATTGCCCTCTGCCATGTGCCACCCTGCCTTGGAGATAGCCAAGTACGGACTGAGTATAAACTGTGAGCTAAATAAACTTTTCCCTCTTTAATTTTGGGAGTTGGGTATTTTGTCCCAGCCACAAGAAAGATGTCAACACATGTTTGCAGAAAAAGAAACAGAAGTCTTTCTAAGAGGTTGTGAGGCCAGGTTCCAGAACCCACTGACTTAGAAAATCTTTGTGTGCTTTTTTGTTTTAGATAAGAGAGGGAGAGTGGTTTTTCAAAAGCCACATATCTGATGCTCAGGAAAATACAGTAATGACGATATGGCCTCCCATCCTGTTCACTCTGCGGCAGGGCACTTTCCTTTCAGGAGAGGACAGGACAGGAAGACAGAGAAGAAAACACCATCTTTAATCAACTCACCTGCACAGAAACCAGGGGAGCACTCCCAGCCTAGCAAGGTCCCAGTGAGAACACCTGGTCCCCTTACATAAATGAGCTTATAAAAGCAAAAGGCCCCAGAGCACTGTGTGGCTAAACCCTCTGAGTAGGAAGAGGCCTGCAGAATGAGGGGAGGGTGTTGGCTGCAGGCAACGGCTGGTCTGGTGGCAGGGTTGTAGCCTGGCCTGATGAGAACAGATTCCTCTTGAGCTGTACTCAGCACTGGTTAGGCTGACCACATGGGACCCGTGGTAGCCAGTCTCTTGGGGGCTGGCTGCTTGGAACTGCTGATGGGACAGTGAGGCGGGGTGCCATTCTAGACCAAGATCAAAAGGGCCATGGTCACCATAGACAGGCTTAGGTGTACAAACCATCTCATGTCTGAGTTTCCTCTACCTTCCTGATGCCTCCTATCATCCTTCATAACCCAGGGCCACTCCCATTGCATGGACTAGGATGCTGAACCCCAATCTTCTCCTAGCCAGTGCTAGGTCACAGGATCCCCAGGGGTGACATGGAGGGAAGTAGGGAAGAAGGGCTCTCACCTCCATTTGCCCTCAGGAAGGGCGGGTGCTGGCTTTTCTGACACACCTCTATTACCCAGACCTCCATTAGAATTCTGAGATTTTTGTTTGTTTTTTGAGGCAGGATCTCACTGTGTAGCCCAGGATGGCCTTGAATTTACAGTGATAAATCTCTCAAGTGCTGGGATTACAGTTATGCTCCACTATACTTGGCCCTTCTGGGCTTACAAGGGGTTGCTTCCGGACACTGGTATGGTCATAAATGCTGGTGGTCTGCAAACACTGGTATCCAGGTGGCATTGACCAGTATCTCCCCACTGGAGCCACAGTGGTGATGTGGATAGAGCCATCAAGGGTTGGCAGTGTTGCTGGGGGAGCAGTGGAGGGGATTGTGGGTGCAGCAGACTTGGTCTCAGGGACGTGGCAGGGTGTAGAGTGACTTAAGCCCCATTTCCCTGTCAAGGGTTGATGGAGGCTAATTCTAGGAAGGCTCTGCTGGGTGTTGGGCTGAATTCAGGGCTTTGGGCTCTGTCCATCCAGTTCCCAATGTGAGAACGGATGGGTATATTGCTTTAAGAGAGATGATGGCATTTTGGTGGTGGTGGTGGTGGTATGTGTGTGTGTGTGTGTGGAGGGTGCAGTGTGTGTGTGGCAGAGTGTCCACGCTGGACGGGGGCTTACAAATGGAACCCAGAGAAAGGCACTGGGCTTTGGAATCTGAAACTACAGAAAGTACACTATGTTCAAGGCCTATCTGCGCCACAAGTTTAGCTGTGTGGCTTCAAGCAAATCACTTTACATCTCTGAGCCTTAGTTTCCACAGTTTAAAGTGGGGATTAAAATCCCAGCCTAGCCCAAGGGATTGAGAGTCAAAGGAGAAGGCTAGAAGAGTCCATCTGCTAAAGGATTATTTTAATTACTTGGAGTAGGGAAACGGAGGCCCAGAGAGGGCAAGGGCTTTGCCACATATCACACCGGGTGTCAGTGACAGAGCTGCGATTGGAACCCAGGACTCCTGCTCCTAGTTCACAGTAGATCTCACCAAGGCTGGTGAATGAGTGAAGAGATGGGGTGTCTGTCTGCCCTGCTCTTTCTCTCTGGACAAGGGCAAGATACTGGATGAAGGGTGAAAGGGGTGGACTGGAAAAGGGAGGAAGACCCTGGTAAATGCCAAGGCTGAGATAAAAAAAATACAAACCCCGCGATGCCCCTCCCCCGGCCGACCCACCCCTGAAGTCAGGGCTCTGTAAGGCCAAGTCCAGTCTGCTCCTTTGGCTGCCCAGCGGGTAAGGCCGCGCAGGCTGCAGTCGGTCCAAGAGACACCAGGGGGCGCGCGCCAACCTTGGCCGGAGCTCCGGGCAGGCGCTGTCAGTCCAGCGGCCAAGGGCGGGGCGCCGAGTAGGCTCCGGACCGAAGCTACCCAGACCTGCAGGAAACAAAGGCGGGGAGGGCGTAGGCACGCGGCAGAGAGCTCTGGCTGCCCTCCCGCCCACTCTTCCACTCTTCCCTCTTCGCTAACTCCAGGCCCCTCCGCGTGCACCCATCCCCGCCCCTGACCCACGTGTACAGTGGCTGCAGCTGTAAATGTGACGTCTTCTGTGGCGCCTGATATCCGTAGGAGTCAAAGCCACCGATGAAGTCAACTGCGGAAGGGGAGAAGGCGAGTTAAGAGGATGGTCCCAAAAGGGAAGAATGGATAGCAGGACCCCAAGCCCGGTGGGAGAGGCGAGGATGGAGTGGGGAGTTTGGGGTGAGGCCATGCACCTAGACACGCAGGAATGGGCCTGTGAGGGCTGGGAGGCCAGGAGCCGGGCCAGCAGAGGCTCAAGTCCCTAGACTGTGGAGCTTGTGTAGGGAGTGGTGGTGGGGAGCGCCTACAGGAAAGAGGGGCCCCGCGGGGCAGGACAAGACGTCCAATGGGGCCAGGCTGCAAAAAGGTGATGGCATGGCCATAGGCTGGACACCTGGATGTCTAGTCTCCAGCCCACAATGGGCAGGCTTTGCAGATCCTACCCACCCCTGCCATCTCTTCACGAAAGGGGCCTCAGGCTGACCCACAGCACCCCACCCCCACCCCTTCAAGCCGCCTTGGCCCTGTCCAGGGTGCTGAAAAGCCAGGCCAGGGCTTTCCCTCCCTGGGACGCCTCACTCACAGCTGTCCTCCTCCTCCAGGAACACTTTGCTCACATAGCAGGCAAACACAAAGCCGAACAGCTAGAGGAGAGAATGACAAGTGAGGGCAGAGAGCACAGCTTCTCCTTGGTCCTCGCCCACTCACCCCAACTTGGGGAGGCTGTATCCTGCCTGGTCTAAGGCAAACCCACCCCAACAGTTTCAGGTTCAATACCAATGCTTAAAAGTCAAACATACTTGGTCCCATTCTTTTTTTTTTTTTTTTTTTTGGTCTTTTTCCTTTTTATCGGTACCGGGGATTGAACTCACGAATGCCTGCTTGCAAGGCAGGTGCTTATGCGCACTGAGCTAAATCCCCAGCGCCTTGGTCCCATTCTTTATTCTTGGAGTGTGACTTCTGACAAGCAATTGCCCCTTCAAGCTCCAGTTTTCCTAGTGACACGGGCAATGCCTTACTGACTTGTTGTGAGGAGTGTGTATGTGCGTGTGCACGCACACCGCACGCGCGCACGTGCAAAGTGCCCAGAACAAGGCCGGCCTGGAAATGGGACTCCTGTCATCTTTAGAGCACCCTCCCTATTCTCACAACTCTACTGGGCTCTTTTTGTGACTAAGGATACAAGTTTAGAAAAAGTATATGATGGTCATATGGTGGGTGGACTCACGATCTGATGCCTCATCGTGTTCATTAAACCTGTCCACTCGTGGGACAGGGGCTAGGGCCAAGGTGAAGGGAGGTGGCACAAGATTTGGAAGCTAGTCCAAGCAGAAGGCAGGCTGAGACCTGTCTCCTCCTCTTAACTCCTCCTCTTAGGATAAAGAAGGGTTTTGGGATGCAGCCCTCCCCTCTGAGAGTTTGTGGGGCGGGAGACTTACTGCCAGAAAGATCTGCAGAGCACTGCTGAGGGCTTCAATGTAGGGATAATCCAGCAGGCAGCCGGTGACAGAGATGACATGGTGGTCCTCCAGGGCCAGGCGGGAGTTCAGAACAGGAGTCACTAGGCATCCCGGTCCGTTCTCCATCCACCAAGAGCGGTGCAGCGATGTATTGAAGGTCATGATGAAGTCCCGGTCCTGGGGGCAGAGGGGCCTGGGATACTGAGCGGGGTCAGGGGAGTTACACAGCACACCTAGATCTCAAGCAGCCTCTTCTCTGGGTTGATTTAGGAAAGGAATGAAGATTCCACTTGCAAGTCCATGTTTTGGCCAGCAGGTGGCAATTGATGCTCGCGCAGGCCTCACACTTACCACCGAGTTGGAAAGGGGTTGGTGGAGATTCAGAATTTCAGGGCTAGAAGGGACATTAACAGAGACAGGGTCCAACTCCCAGTCGCTGGTGAAATGCTCAGTACATGCCCTCCACATGCCACTTGGTCTCTCCACTGCTTTCCTGTATGCTAATGGGTTCACCTCTCATCTCTTTGGTCCTTGATCTCCCCATTTGTTACATGGAGAAATGGCTGGGCTACAGCAGAAGCTCTTGCCCAGGTATGCAGCACGCGCTTATCAATCTTCAGCCAGATCAAGGCTTACTGTGTGCTGGCCCCTTACATGTGGGCTCTCACTACATCCCCTCGAGTGAAATTGGAATTATCGCTGTTTCCACTTACTAGAGGAAGGGAAGCTCAGATGGGACAAGCCACTGCCCAGGGCCAGGCTGCTGGGAGATATTGGAACAAGCTTTTTATTTTTTTCCTTTTTTTTTTTTTTAATTTTTTTTTTTGGTGCTGGAAATAGAACTGAGGGCCTCACACTTGCCAGGCAGGCAGTGCACCTGCTGAACTATATCGCTTGCTAGGACTAGGTTTTGAACGCAGGAAGGTTAAACCAGAAAGCCAAAGCTCTTATAGACATATTTTGCTTCCTTTATCTAAAAGTAGAAGTGTCTTTCTGGGCTGGTCTTCAAGCTAAACAAACTTTCCTCAAAAGTTCTCCATCTGACAAGGGCTATTCAGTGTCCCCTGAGCAAACATTAACTAGTACTTTCCTTTCTGAAAATTATTGATCCCAAATCTTTGGGTCTGAGCTATACAAAGTGCATGGCATTTTCAAGCAGCCCAACACATGCTGTGGGTTTTACTGTGCTTCTGTTCAGCTGGAATCTCTGGCCCATCCTTACTTGGACATCTCTTTAGCTTCACTGGTTCCATCAGTTTCTGAGAAGTGCAGAGGAGGCAGAAACAGGGGTGTTGCACAGACTACTTGAGTGTGGAGAGGTGGGGAGGTCTTTAGACTTGAGACCCCAGGCCTATACCACACTAAGAGCCCTAAGGTAGGGATGGGAAAGGTCAGGCTCTGCCTTAGGGCACTGCCAGGCCTGAAGCTTACCTGGGACAGTTGTCCAACCTCCAGGTAGAAGCAGATGATAAATGCATTCCAGCCAACCCAGAGCACCAGCCAGGCTGCATACTGGGGAAAGCAGAGGTGGGTTCAGGGTGGGGCCTGGGGAGTGGGGAGGCGGCGAGTCAATGGAGTCACAGGTCAAGGGAGGAGGAGACCTTTGCAGGGGAAATCATGGTAACACTCCAGGGAACACACTGTCATTTCCAAGTCGTCTTCATGTACATCCAGTCCTTACCACAGCCCTGCAAGGCAGGCTTCAGCCTCCCAGAGAGCACTAAAGCTGCGAGGTCTCAGCTTTCTGAAATCACACAGCTAGGAAGCAGGAGGGCTGGCATGCTCATCCACATCGTGTTACTCCACTAAAACCTTCCACTAGGCTAGAGGTCTCTAGAATGTACTAGAATCGCTCAGGGAGTGATTAAAAATGCAGATTCCAGCTGGGGACAGTGGTGGTCACTTGTGGTCCTAGCTACTTGGAAGGCTGAGGCAAGAGGATCGCTGGAGCCCAGGAAGGAGTTTCAAAGCCAGCCTGGACAACTCAGTGAGACCTTCTCTCTCTCTTTCATCTCTCTCTCTCTCTCTCTCTCTCTCTCTCTCTCTTTCTCTCTCTCTCTCTCTCTCTCTCTCTCTCTCTCTCTCTCTCTCTCTCTCATCTCTCTCTCTTTCTCTCTCTCTCTGTACCAGGGATTGAACTCATGACTTTGCACTTGCTAGGCAAGTGCTTGTGCCACTGAGCTAAATCCCTGAGCTGGAGACTTCATCTCTTAATTCAAAGAAAAAAAATACATGGGTTCCTAAGTCTTACTTACAGATTTACTGATTCTGAGTTGTTAGGGATGTTGCTCAGGAGCTGTTTGAACAACACTGAATTGTGACTTGGCTGATACCTTTTAGAACATATTTCAGATGACAAATCACCAGAGGGGAAAGGCCTCATCTGCCTCATTCACCATGCAACATAAGTGCCCAGCACAGAGCAGATATGCAGGGGTGGGTGACTCAACTGACCTCAGGCCTCAGGAAGTAGTGTGTAAAGTATTCCTGTTAGGCCACAGCTGTAATCAGAAGTGGGTGGTCAGAAGGCCTGAGGCTGAGGACTGGCATTTAATGGAGTAGGGGGGTGGGGAATTCGGATCCACATTATTTCCTAGGGGACTTTTTTTTCTGTGTCGAAGATAGAACTCAGGGCCTTGAACATGCGAGGCCAATGCTCTTACCACTGAATTATACCCCCAGCCCCATGAAGCCTTAATTCTTGTAAATGGCTGAAATCCTCTGTGAGAGGGTAGGGTCAGCAGTGGCTTAAAGATGCTCAGAACTTGGGACCAAAACACACAGGAAGTCATCCTGAAGCCTGGAGCCTGAGAACAATGGTGACATCTCACACATACCTGGGGCTGGTATGAGGGGTCAGAGGAGGTGGGGGCAGGGCAGTGGGTGAGGCCTGCAGAAAGGCTGGGGTGAGCAGATCAAGGAGCATCCCCAAAACGGAAAGGGAGCCAAGCCCCTACCCAATCTATTCATTCTGTCACTATTTTCCCTCCTTGTTCTGTAAAGTGCTCCCAAGTGGCCCAGGTCAGTTGGAACAGCCCCAGCAATCTTGGTACCTGGCCAGAGAGAGGCTGGAGCTGCATGGTTAGGGCAGCATGGGGACCTCTCAGCCTCTGAGTCATCCCCCTTCCAGGTGTGGCCACTTCTCAGGAGGACAGAATCTCAGCCACAGCCACAAGCCTGAGAGGGCAGGGCACAGCAGGCTTGGGAGGTGGGTGTTCCACACAGGGCCTGTGCCTGTGCTTGAGTGGCTGCCACCTGGTGAACAGCACAGTTGACAGTGGCTGTTCACCCAGGGCTGTCCTGAGAACTGGAGGGAAGTGTTCTATGTCAGAGGATGCAGAGTTCCACAGGACCTGCCCCCTGGCTCCTGGGAGGTAAAGTCCTAGAATGGCTGAGGATGGGGTCTTGTTAGCATGTCACTGCCGGCCAGTGTCATTGTAACTGTGAGCCACACCCTCAGAAGTACATCTAGTGAAAAGCCCCCAGAAGCCCTGTGCAGAGGTCCCTGAAGAACAGCAGGAACCAAAGGTGAGTCTAGCTGGAAAAAGGAGCTTGAGACATTGTGGGGGACCAGGGCTTGGAAAGAGGAAGTGGGGGTGCATGCTGGGAACAAGATCAGAGTCCTGGAGCTTGCCTGTAGGAGCCCCTAACCTCAAAGCCACAGTAGCTGCTCTGCACTGTCCTTGATGCGTATCAGTAAGCAGGGACAAAAAAGCCAAGCCTTTTGAAGTTTCTTAGTGCCCTGAGAAACTGGACAAGATGAGGCCCACCTCTCCTTGGTCTATGACCCTGGTTTGCTGAGGCAGCTTGGTGGCAGGGTGGGAGGCTTCACTGCAGACCCGAAGCTCTCATCCTGGCCCTGCTTTTACTAGTTGTGTGGCTTTAGGAAGCCTTGTAACCTTTCTGAGTCTCAGTTTTCTCATCTGAGAAATACCTTTCTGAGTCTCAGTTTTCTCATCTGAGAAATGCAGATGGTAGGACAGAGCTCACAGGACTGTTGTAAAGATGAGCTAAAGCATGTGAACATGAGCAGTGTGCCTGGCACAAGCAAGGTTCTTGCTAAGTGATCTATCTTGTTATGTTTGGATTATTTCCCTGGGAAATCCCTGAAGAAAATGGTCTCCTCCAAGCAAAGCTGCATTGGGATTTGGGCACCCATCCCCTAGCTGGGCTGGAGCCAAAACAAGCCAGTCTGAGTGTCCAGGATTGGGGGACAGTTTTGACTAGAGGGACAGGGAGGGTGAGGTTGGCAAGGGTGGGAAGAGGGGCCTGGCTTGGGAAGGGGCTAGGTGAGTCATACCAGGATGAGATACCGGGAACGATACTGCACGGTGCCAAAGATGCCCAGGATGACCGCCATGATATGCAGGAAGTTGGCCAGGATGGGAGCCCACTGGTAGCCCAGGAAGTCAAAGATCTGCCGCTGCAGTGCAGCCACCTGTGGAAGAGACAGGCTGAGGCCACTGCCACCCTTCTGCTTGACCTTGTGGAGCAGAAGACACCAGTTATTGAGGTGACGGGCACAGTCTCAGAGTCATCTACCTTCCCACACCAAAAGGATGCTGGGAGTTGAGGGTTTCCTCAGGGGCAAGTCTGTGCAAGTGGGGCAGGGGTCCCTAAGCCTGAGCATCATTTTGGCCCACTAGCCCTGGAGCCCCTTCTACATGAAGGGAGGTCAGTGAGCCTAGGACTCAGGCTGGCTGTCCCAGAGGTAAGAGAGAGGCTAAACCATAGGTTTTCAGGGCCCAGGTTCATCATTGTGACCCATGGAATCCCTGGGTCATAGAGACCACCCACTTCTTTCGCTGAAGGAATTAAAATAGATTGCAAAATTTGCTCCGCATTCTTCCTCTATTTCCATGCTCTTTGGCATTTTGGTAAGGCTGTGCTGGGTCATGTGACCTGCTTTGCCCAATGGAACTTTAGCAAATGTTGCAAGGGGAGGCTGGGAAAATGCATGGGCACTTGCATACATGGGAGCTTGCCTACTTGATTCATATGTAACAGAGAGGATCATGTGAAGGAGCCCAAGCTGAGCTGCTGGAGGGCCAGACACACGGGGGAAGAACAGAAGAAACTTGCTGACAGTTGGCCAATCACCAAATGTGTGAGCGAGACCATCTTCCAGCCTGTTGATGCACTAGGCTACCCACCAGCTGACCAAACACAGCCCAGCCCAGAACAAGTGCCCCCACTGATCCACAGGATATTGAGTTATATAAAATAAAAGGCTGTTTTAAACTGTGATGTCCTGGAGTGATTTGTTATGCAGCAAAAGCTAACTGATACATACAGAACACAACCATCATTCCCTTCCCAGCAGCCCCTGGTTCAACTTTTTAGCCAATAAACAGCAACAAAGATACCCAAGATAACTATTATGTATGGCTAAGACTCCTTCAGATGACTGAGTTCAGCTCTTTTTTCCACCACTGTCCATGGGGTTTACATACGGTTGGCCCCATTTCTAGGTTCTATGGTGGGCAGGTAACCCATGTCCAGCCAAGACCAGTAATGGATTAGGCACAGGCCACTCACTCTGCCCCATTCCCGAGTGTCATTCTGCATATGTGTGGAAACAATTGGGACACAGGTGCTGTCTGCCAGGATACCTGAATGGAAGTGGTGCCAGCTTGGAACTGTTTGTGACCACTTTTGCCAACTCAAGGGAATGGCCTGCCCTGAAAGCCACAGCTGAGGGGCTGTGGGAGGAAGAGGGAACAAGCCAGGGGAGTGTCCTGGTGACAAGGCTTTGGGTCTTAGGATCTAGTATGCCTAATGCAGTCTCCCTCCTCATACTTCCAATTTCTGTGGCTTGTAACCAACTGTCTTAAACTGAAGGAAGAGAAAGAGGGTCTGGGGGTAGGGGTGGGGATTCTGATCAAGCGAGGTGATCCCAGAAACATTTTCTTGGCAGGGAGGCAGGAGGTGGAGCTGATGCCACCACACAGATGGTGAAGCTTGGGTAGCGACCAACAAAGCTGCAGGCTTGGACAAGAGAATGAAGGAGGTCTGGGGGTGCCAGACCCAGCCCTGGCACTCCCTGCTTCGTGCCAGCCTGCCTCTTGTTGGTGGCTCTTCTCCCAGGACTGCAGATGGTAAAGAGCTTTCCAACTCCACTTCTCACTGGATATTCCTTGGCAGAAAGGCAGAGCTGGCATCAGCATCTCATTTTGGAGAAAAGAGAACATGGCGCTCTGAGAGGGCAGTGACTTGCCCAAGGTTACACAGCAGGTGACACCTGTTGCACCTGGGCACCAATGAACTACCTGCCCAGTGGTACTGATTTGGAAGTGAAGAGGTACAGGTCCTGTAGAGTCTGCCCCTGACTGCTAAGTGACTTTGGGCAGTCACTCTCCCTGCTCTGCTCCTGCACACCAAAGTCACTTGACCAGAGAATCCAGTTTTGGCTGAGCTTTGAGGAGAAACTCAGCAGGATGAGTGCTGTGGTCTTTCATGGCTGCTCCCCATCCTAAACACTCTGATGCTACCACTTCCATCTTCTCCCCTCCACCATGACCCAGGCCATCCTTGGTAGTGCCAGTGGCTTGGGATACAGCTTGACACTCTCCACTCCATTGGTACGCGGTCCTAAGGAAGACAGTCCCCATCAGAGGATGAAGGAGGAGGCTGTGACGGTGATACTGAAGGCAGAGCGGCAGGATGTCTGGCCCAAATATATCCATCTGAGAGACAGTATCATCCCACCCCACCCAGGCCCCTGCTCATAACTCCTATTAATTAACAACAACAACAACAACAAAACAGCACAGCTCTGGAGTTACTCAAACTCAGGTCTGCTTTACCAGCCTACTCTGTGACTTAGGGAAAGTCAATGTCTTTCTCTGAAGCTATTTCTTCAGTTGTGAATATAAGATACTCCCTCCACTGAATTGTAGTGAGGATATGAAGACATCACATAAACAGACAATTAGACGCGATAAACGGTAGCTAATTAATAGACGGCTTAACAGCCTGAGCTGCTTAGTTTGGCCCTGAAGGCTCACTAGGATCTGGTTCAGTGCTCATTCCCTGTCAACCCTGCCTTTGAGCGGCTGAAACAGTAGTTAAAGTCCCACGTGCACTTCCTTTTGTTTTACCTGAGTCCTGCTTGGTCTTCAGAGTGTAGCTGTTTCCTCCTTCGCAGGAAGACCTCCTGGATTGACCCACCAAGAGCTCTCTCCACAATGAACTGACCGCCTGAACCTGGTGCATCTGCTGCTCCTGCCCCTCCCAGCCTCACCCCTGCTCCCTCCCTCACCTCTGACAACCGCTCACCCACCCCTCCTCCACCCCTCCACACCTGCCAAGCCCTCTTCCACTCTGGCTCATTGCTAATGAGCTCACCGACATTTAGTCTCAGTCTAGCAAGGAGGTGGACAGGCAATCAGATAATTCAAACCAGGGTAGTCAGCACCATAATCCAGGCCTTATTGAGGCAGATTTAAAGTTACTTTTTTTTCTTCTAATGGGATTGAACTCAGAGCCTTTGTCCTTAGCCACCCTGTTCCCTTTTAAAATTTTGAAACAGTCTAAGTGCCCAGGTTGGGTTCTAACTTGCGATCCTCCTGCCTTAGCCTCTCAGAATGCTGGAATTACAGCCTACTCAACAATGCCTGACTTAAAGATACCTTTTTAAAAAGTAGGAGTCAGTGTCTTTTAAATAATATCAATCCTAAAGATATTATTGTCGGGGCTGGGGATTGAACCCAGGGCCTTGTGACGCTAGGCTAACACCTCACCATCGAGCTAAACCCCTAGCCCTTAAAGTTATATTTTTGAAAACCAGGAGGAACATTCCAGAACTCCTGATTGTGTCACAGCAATATGCAGCCAATTAACAAATACAGATAAGAAGGAAGCGGGAGGACTATCTTCCCCATCTAGTTGCACCACCTTAGAAACAATCTTCTGAGGCGGCAGTGACTATAAATCATAAGCAGCCTCGTGTGTCCTTGTTAGTTGGATGGAGGAATTGTGTGGAGGCAACAGCAAGCTAGTCTTCTACAAAGATTTCAAATTCATGTGCACCGAGGGACAAAAACGGCTCTGGGGATATTTTTACCAGGTCAAGCTGCAAGCTAGATAAGTGGGCTTCTCAAATCTCTCTGAAGTGGGCCAGCAGGGAAGTCCTAGGAGGCAACTCCCGGGCTTCTGCCGAGTTCTCCAGGCAGAGAGTGTTTGGCAACCGCCCACCTTGGCCTCCGTGCTTTTGGGAGTGAGTACGGTCCACCCAGGGCTTTTGTATTGACTACATCCTCAGCCCTTTTTAAAATGTTTATTTTGAGTCAGGTCTTGCTAAGTCACTAAGTTGCCCAGCTGGGTTTAAATGTGTCATCTTTCTGCTGGAGACTCCAGAGTGCTGAGGTTACTGGCACCCACCACACCTTGCTCCTTCTTAAAGATGAGTTTGTCACCTTTGTCCTCCTCCTCAGCTTCCACATCTGGAGTGGCCCCACTCAGCAGTCTCTCAACACCTTCCCCATTCCTCTGCATGTGACCCCAGTGCCCCTTGGACAGTACCCCCAAAGTCACCGATTAGAAAGCCCCTCCCAAGCTTCCCAGGTGATTTCCTAACGCCCTTCAGGATGACAGGGCCAGTCTTGTACTGCTGGGACCCTATGATGCTTTGATGTCAGCCTTGCCACAGCCCAGAATTCCTCCTCCACCACAGTGGCAAGAAGCCCTCAGCTGGACAGAGCCAGTGGGCAGCTCTCCCACTGTCTGCACCGCAGCCCATCATTCTACATCACACAGGGTCCACAGCAGACCCACACTCATGGCCCCAACGTGGCTCCTGGTATCATCCACAACCCTACTAGGCTTCTCCCATGATAGTTTAGGATCTCCTTTTTGTCCTTGGTCCTCCTGGATCCCCAAGGCCTCCCTCTCAGTGATGGCCAGGCCACCCTGCTTCATCTGCCGAATCCTCCCAGCCAGGGCCATTTCCGGTCCTGCCTCAGTCTTCGCGGGAGCACCGCACACAGGCCCTTAGCTCCTGTAGACGCAGCTCCCCTTCTCCCAGCACCCTGGCCACTGGCTCCTGAACATACCCAAGTCTCTGCCATTATCCATCCCCACAAGCCCTGCCTATGTCAATTCTCCTATCTAAAACTGTTTCAAAGGTCTCCACGCACTGCCTGCCATCCTGTGCCCACTATCATGCAGCTTTGGTCACTGAAATGGTTCTCTCTGAGGTCACTATGACCTCCATGTCACCGAGGCTGGCAGCAGCATTTCAGTGCTCAGCTTCCTCATTGCGCTTGCCTCCAGGTGCCCTCTCCCGCCAGTGACACTCTGCTTCTGCCCTGGAGGCAGCATGACCTACGGGTTAGGAGCAAAGCCTGGGCTAGCACACTGGTGCCATCATCATGTATTATGCAACCTCCCTGCACCTCAGCTTTGCCAACAGAGTGCATATGAGTTGGTCACAGGGCGCCTGCCTCTTCTACCCCGTGGCTTTATTTTTTCCACAATGCTAAT